GGGGCCTGGTAGGGGTCCCCTATGGTCCCCTCCACCCTCCTCCTGCCTCCCTTCCCCCGCCCGCTACTTACCAGCTCAGAGTCCAGGTCTAGCTCCCTGCCGCAGCGGGCGGGCCTGCCCAAATCACTGAAGCTCTCTGAATATTTTCCAAATCGATCTGGAGAGCTTCGAATAGATTTGGACCTTTTAACTGGTCCCCTGATTCGATTCAGATTTGGAGGTTCGGTCACCGAATCCAGCTGAATCTCCTCCGAATTGAATCAGTGCCTGAAGCTTCGCACAGCCCTACTATTTACCACTGGTCCATAATTTCCCAGATCTTCCTTCTTCCCTTTCTTAAAGGTGGGCACTACATTTGCCTTTTTCCAATCATTTGGGACTTTACCTAGGGTGGCCATCATAGAGGACATTCCAGTTTTCTGCTACTCTGTCCTTTGCCCTCTATTGATACGAAACCAGATGCCTTTATGAACTCTATTTTTCTCTTCAAGAAAAGGTGTCCAGTTTCATATCAATAGAGGGCAGAGGACAACTGGACTGTCCTCTATGACAGCCACCCTAACTTTACCAAACCTCTACGAGTTCTCAAATTGGATAGGCTACTAGCTCTGAAATTATCTCAGCCAATTCCTTTAGTACTCCACATTGTATCCCATCTGGCCCTGCCAATTTAAAAGCAACTAACTTTTCTAAATAATCTTTAACCTGTTCTACTACTACTGTAGGATGTTTGTCTCCATCCTTATCTTTGCTGGAAACCCACTTGTCCTCTACTAGCTGCCCCTGTTTATGAAGATGGAAGTAAAAAGCCATTAAATACTTCAGCCTTCTCTGTATAGAGATTGTAAGTAGATCTCATAAGTAGATTGCCTTCTGCATTCCGTAAGGGACTTATGGTTTCTTTGGTCTTCCTCTTACTTTTGACATACTGTTTTCATGTTACTTCCTAATCCAATAGACCATGAAAAGTTAGTTCAAGATAAAATGGCAGCACTAATTGATGCTAGGTTTTTATGGTATATGCCTTCCACTGAATTCATGCCCTAGAGCAGCTAGCTATAATTATTCCTTTTAATAAGTAATATGGTATGGGGACTACCAGCAGCTATGCACTAGTGAGACAACTTGCCTTCTAATCAGTGCTCCTTTTTGTGCATGCTCTGTGGCCACACTTTGGTATAACAACCACACATTTATTTGTTTTCAGCGCACTGCATTGAGAGAGGCACAGTATGGTCTTCTATACAAAGACTTTATACTTATATATTCCTAAGTTTTAAAGTGATACAGTTGGAAAGCTCCTATTTCCTTCATGTATCACGTCTGTAGGGATCTGTGACTAACATTCAGTGCCAGATGACATACTGGTCCTCTAAAGCAGGAGAGTGTAACTTCTTATATTTTTAAGATGTCATTAATCTCAGAACTGTTTTTATGAGAAACATAAACCCCTGAACTCAAGCTTTGACAGGCAGAGATTTTTACAGTTTACTTCTAGAATGTGCTCATGTTAAGAAGGTGCCCCACTACATTTGGCCCCCCTTCCCTTAGGCACTTCTCTTAGGCAGTGCCTGCCCTACTTGTCCACCTAGTGTTACACAACTGAGGCCACATCCACAAGCTTCTTTGTGGTGTCACAAACCACATGCATGAAATGTTAAAATGTGCCCTGTGCTGTAAATTTGCAGCGTGGGGGCAAAATCTGCTACCAGGATTTTCCAGCAGCAAAAAAAAGTGCTGGGAAAAAAAGTGAATGAACAGAGGCTTGGTTCTTCAGTGAGACACTCTGGCTTTCAGCCAGAACATCTCTAAGCTCCATTTGTGCCCCAGCTGCTCCAACATGCTAGAAGCTGGAAGGAGCTGGGAAAGGGCATTTGCCCACAGTGGGACAATGTGCCCTGCAACAAAGTGCACATGTAGGGGCGTGCTCTGTGGCAAAAAAATAGCAGCAGAAGTTTGTGCTGCTACTATTTGTGCTACTGCAACACATGCCCCTGCTCATCTGGATGCAGCCTCAAGGGAAAAAACAATCTAAATGAAGCTACTGCAAGCTGGATACATAATGGGTTGCATACTTGTTTCAATGTACATCAATGTGCAGTTGCTATAAATATGAAGACAGAGATATTTATGCCTATTTTTCCCCGTGGAAGAATGTGCATATAACAGCACTATTTTTGGACAGCTGAGTTTTATGCTACAATTTACAAGAATGCCAGAAGCTTTATCTGAAAGGAAAAATGACTCTTAAAGAAATATGTCCATTCCCTAGTTCTTAAACAAGGCTCAGTCTACTACAATTAATTTTAATTCATGTTTACTTCCTAAAATGTCAGATCAGGGATGCTCAGTGAAATGTTGAGTCTCACATTCTAAGGGCTGATGAGATTGCCACCAACTTAAGAAGACATGTGGGACTGAAGAAGGATTCTATGCAGCAGTTGCTATCTATAACTGCGATGAAACTGTTGGGGGAAATAAGTTCCAAACATTTGCTAAATCTTAAAAGGCAGGAATTGAGTGGCCTGTAAAGATCCAAAGCATTTCCATTCCAAGTCTGAAATTTTTTGTCCGTAAGGTTTGTCTGTCATAAATGAAAGTGTCAGTAAAGGAAATGCTGGAGAGAAAATGGTAAATTCTATCCACTGCAAGTGAGGTTTTCAATGGACTAACATGTACAAACAACCCTGAAATGCATGTCAACAAGAATCAGTGGTCCTGTGCAAATACATGGAATTAATTCTCAAACTTAGGATCTCAAGTGATCAGTCTTAGGCAATGATCCATACCCATGAATAAAACTACTCTTATATGCAAGTAATGGCAGGATTAAGGCAACGGTATATAAAAAATAATATACAACAAACACAGGAGTGACTTGAACAAGAAGCTGCAAATGAATATACATACCCCAGCCCAAAAGGTAATACCAGTGCAAACGCTGCTCTTCAGCAAACACTGCCACCACAATTAGAGTGTGAAGATATATGCCTTCACAGAGCATCCAGAAGTAATTGCAACCCAGCATATACTGATGAAAAAATTGCAGCACCTTGCAGCTTACCTGTCAAACAAATTAGACAGTATTAAACTATAGATAACATACCACAATTCTGTATCTTAGCAAGCAAACATAATACCAGGTTTTTTCCCTTAGTGCTTGCTAGAATTCCTTAGCAGCATGTATTATTGACAGGGCTATAAGATAGCAATAAATCAGACAAATGGAGTAAATGCACCTCATAATTCATAAAAATCAAGTGCAATGAGCAAAGCTCGAGCAAGAACTATCCAGTAAAACCACACTTTGAAATGTTTTCAGTTTGATGGGGTTTAGAATTAAAAAAACAACTTGTTCTTAAAATCCCAGACAAATGCGGTAAAGAGATAGCAACTTAATCATCTAGGTAGCTTACTGTGGTTGTATTCTTTACCTTTATTCAAATTGTTATACAACCTTCAATCAGCTTGTCTGTTTAACTTTATAGCTAATTACTCCCAAAGCTGTACACGTTAAGGGTCCTATTTCGGATACCTAGAGTATGCCTATACCACTAACATACTATGCCAAGTGGTGCCAGGCTGAAACGTCAAATTTCTCTGGATGTGTCTACATGTGAAAATAATCTGGGAGCACTTTATTCTAAAGTACTCTAGAGCAAACTCTCTTGGGTATGTGTTTACACGTGTGGGGATGTGGAAGCAGATTTGCTGCTCCTAGCAGTACACTGCTTCTGCTCCCTGCATCCCTGCACGGGGCCCCTGCAGCAGCTAGGAAACAATCTCCTGTTCCTGCTGCCCAGCTGACCAGAAGCACATTTGCTTCTGGTCAGCTGTCTACATGTTGCTACTGCACAGTATGTAATCAACAGGAAATTTGCTACTTGCATTTGCAGGTAGCAAATTTACTCACAATTAGAGCAAATGACTGCACAGTAAGCATCTGCATGTGTAGACAGTGACACTTACTGTGCAGTAATTAGCTCTAATCTCAAATAAAGTGTCTTGTGTAGACACACCCTCTGTGTGTGCTATCCACAGAGCCAGAAGTAGCATAGTCACCTCACAGTGGTACTGTAGGTAAGTTAATTAGCTCTTCACCACTTATTGAGGAGCGTACTACCACTGGAAGCAGTGGGTGTTTCTCCCAGGTGAGGTGCAAGAGATCTTGACCAGAGTCTTATCAGTACGTACAGTGCAATTGCTCTGTATTTTTGTATAGCAAAAAACACAAGAAAAATACAGACAGTGAAGTAAAAAAGGTCAGGACTTTCTCTGAAAAGGATACAGGTGTGAGGTTCCACTCATCTTTGTGATCTCTGTACAGAAGCTGAGCTTAATTGCAGTCTATTAGGGGTGCACCAATAGAGATTTGGGGGCTGATACCGATAGTTGATATTTAAGGAGGCATATAGGCCAATACCGATCCAATATTGAATAGAGATGCCTCCAGGTGGTAAGTCCGGTATGGTGGAAGGGGAGGGGGGAGGGAAGGGGCCTGGGGTACAGATCAAC